GTTTCCACCCACAGACAAAAGGTATTTTGGTAGGTTAACTGGCTTCTGGGAAGGTTTGCCCTGGTGTGTGTGTGTATGTGCCTGTGTGTGCCTGCGATGGATGGAAATCAGTGAATACTTTACCTTGACAGACATTTTTGTAATTCGTACAGCAATCCCCTACAGTCAGGCAGTCATCGGAACAGTGACAGTTACTATTTGGCAGCCTTTTCTCACCACAGCGGGCTTTGTTACACTCCCATTGCTCAGCTGAAAAAAACAATATTTCCACACATCAAAGAAAACAGGGAAATTGAACTGATTAAATTGAATCCTACAGTTATCTCTAATTAAACATATACATTCCCAGTGTATTAACCTCAAATATGTTTATGTAGTCTGTATTTTTCAGTTACCTCCTACTCATACCCCATTTTTAAAGTAGTTAAACGATAAAGCTCCATAAGATTTAAATTAGGTTACTTTCATTTGCACAAAACATTAAAATTGAGCTTTATCTGTAGTGAATGAGCAAATGCACTAACATGCCTAAAATAAAACTATAACAACAATTATATTTCCGATAACATGCTTTATAATCTGCATTTTTCCTTTATTTAATGGATACTTTCAAAAACAAAGATGCCAGACTAAATATCATACCACTCAGGCTGTTATCAATATTTTTAGGGCAAAATAAAGAACAATTGTCATGCACATAAATTCTGCCTGCTACCAAAATGTAGTAATTCTTCAGACTGCAGTGGACATGTGAGCCAGCTTCCTGATTGCAGTGTTAATTAGTATAGGGATATCAACATTCTTCAGCCGCCACAAAAATAAACATCCCACTACATAGGATAGAATGTGCATCACCGTAAAAAAAATTAATTCTACAAGCTAAAAACAGAGCGTTTTACTGTTGTTTGTGACTTTTTAAACCTTAGAGGCTCCCTCTCAGCAAATTACTCATCCAGTTAATCTATTATGAGTGCAGTGGGCAGTTTGCCACAGGGAACACAGACTTTAAAAAGGCCAAAAGGGTAAGCTTTGTTTGAAACCTTTTTTTTTAAAAAAAAAATGAAGTTCAAACAGCTTACTGGGCTGGAGACAAATGTCTTTAAAGTCATTGCAGCAGTTGTCGCTGCTAACACATAATTTATCACAGCGGCATCCCTTTGATTCTTCTTCTGGGGGCTCGTAGCAGCGGTTCCTGCAGGATGTTGGGACTCCACCGGACTCTGAAGAAGAACGTCATGTTACAAAAACATCTAGGCAACTATGTGAAAAAGCTCAAAATAAGATATGAGCTGCAGCACAAAACAACAACACTTGTTTTAAGAAAAATAAACACGGAAAGATTGTTTTTCACAGTGGGATGAAAAATTAACTTTGCTGCTTGAAACTTGCTTGTAAAGGCTGACCGGCATTTATAATTCCACTGTAAACTATTCTAATGATTTCAGAAATTGGAGCCCAGAGAGAAAGCTTAAGCCAATCGACTCTGCATTGCAACCACAAAATGTATTTCAGACATGTATATTGGACAGGGCAGCATTGTTATCTCCCGTCTTTGTGGCATTTTGAACTCATATGTGAGGCACTGCTGTTCTATCCTTGAATAAGGTACAGTACTGCACTTGAATTGCTCTAGCACAATACACGGAGCTAAGTAAGTTGCTTTGGATAAAAGCAACTGCCAAATTAATTAGAAATTTTGTGCAACTAACCGTATTTAAATTTGAGGCATACTTTACACTAGCACTGAACAGGGATCATTCACACATGCAACTGTCTTGTCAAACATCTGACATTGTTTTGTCAAAACCTCAACAGTGATTAGATTAGGGCTAGCCTTAACTAAAGGGGGAATGCAGCTCTCAATGACAATGTTGCAAAATCACAGGTGTCACGGGAGTTTATGTGGTGCGATCAGGGAACAGTATAAATAAGGCTGGCTCAAGACTACTCATTCCTGGCAGCACCAGGACATTTTCTCAGTCATAGTCCCAAACATCCCTGAGTTTCATATCTTTCCTTCTAAATTAGTTCTTACTTACTTAGGCTGGTTGAAATACCCGATTGATTATGCTATTTTAAACTGTTTATGCACTCAGCCTTTCAGACATACTCTTCTGCAGATGATGCCAAGAAATGTAAACCGAATTTAGTTCCGTCTCTTCCTAACTTATTAAGGTTTTGCTCGCTGTATTCTATCAAAGCAGCTCATCATATACGGCCAGCTAGTAATGTCCAGAGGCACGCAGGAACAGCACTGTATCCAATACTAACTCTACAAGCACGCCTTGTTCTCCAGAGGGTCCAGGTGCTTAAAGTTCCAGAAGGTTGAAATTTTGAGAGCCACTGTTACAGGAATCAAATGTGAAATCTGAACAATAGATTTTAATGGTTGAGACTTAAGGTTACGCCACCAGCCCCAGAAGAAAGAAAGGCTTTTATGCAATTGGTATCTGTATCTGCTCCTTGCATCTTCTATTTCTAACCCCTTTTGTTTCTTGGCGCTAGTTTTATCTCCCGTCTTTGTGACTATTTTCGCAAAGCGCGGGGGCGTGTTCAGTGCGAAGGCGGAGCTGCATCTTAATGGCGACGCGTTGTCTTAGCAACCACAGCTGTCCTGGCTAATTAAAGACGACCCGCAGCTGTGGGGGGGGGGGGGGGGCATGTTCAGACACACTGAAAACTGTGAAAACTGCCCCCCGAGCTACCCCTGCAAGGAGAGATTGTTAAAGCCGCGTTGTTGCTTCATTTTTAATTGTTTTTTCTTTCTCCTGTCCCGCTGTGATGACTCATAGGGGCAGGTTGAGTTTCTTTTGTTTTGGCCTCGCTCTCCTTTTCTTCCAGTGTGGACCCCGCTAAATAGGGATAATCCAGACTGTAAATCGTTGTTCCAAGCGGTTCTCTCCCCCCCGACTGGACCCGGTTAATAGAAACCGTCCAGCCTGGACGCCGCTGTTTCCAACGGTGCTTCACCCCCCTTGGTTTTCGCTAGCCTCACACCGGCGCCTCCAACCCTTCAAACGGGGCGTCGACGTTTACCGGTGTTCGCTGTGGCTCCTCCTACTTTCGCACTGTTACAATTTACAATACAATTTATTTCTTTCCTGAGACCAATACGCGAAGTCTTACCTTTGTTGCGACATTCTTGTAGCTGTAGCCCAAGTCCCAGACCAAGTCCTAATATGATTGTCACAATGGCGACTGCTAAAGCGCTGATCTGAAGCAGCAAACATTCGGATTTAATATAGGTTACATTAATTTTATTATTTTAGCAGCAACATAACATGTCCTCCCTTTACATATAAAGCAGTACAACCGGGAAACTAGTAAGGCGATATATGCTTCTACCGCGTCAGTTGTTGTTTCCGCACTTTTCTTCTCCAGTGCGCACACAACTATACACGTATTTAAACATTTTCTGACTTAAATATGGTGTTTGTTGGAACTCGTATGATGAAAGCCTGAGTTTAAAAAAGAAATTTTTTTTCATCTGAAGTATTTTAGCAAGAAACAAATACCATTTCCACCCATTACTAACAACTCGGTTTTTGATTAAACGACTAATATTTAAGAGGCGATTTAGCAGAAGCAGGCAGTAATTTTAAAAGAAGTCTTAAGTCTCAGATAATTCTAAATTTGATCATTTTATTACTATAATTTGAACATTGAAAAAGGTTGAAGGTTTCACTTCATCGAACACTTGCAGTTATGTCCAAATACGCATAAATCATTTAGCAAGCTGTTATCCTTCATCAAGTTCTTACTAATTCTCAGAATGTATAGTGCTGTGAATGCTTTACACACAGTGCAATAAAAATGGGTACACTCCATTTGAAGGACATTACAACTATGCAGTAATTGTGCTTTAATATCTTTGTTGCTAAGCAATTTGCAACCCATAAATACATTATCTTACAATTGTCTTATCTTTTGTAATTTTCATTTCACCTTCCCAGGAGACTTGGAAGTTGTACTGTTGTTTCGCATGGTATTATTAGAGACATTTCTTTAGGTTTCACTTGAGGCTGACAGCCTAGAGTCTGTGTCATTTTACACAGATCTAAATTTTACATTGAATTCTGGTGCAGCTAACCAAAAAAACAAAAGGCATTTCTGAGAAAACAAATATATGAAATGCTATCAGATGTGTGGGACTACTATGCTGAGAAGGGATCAAAACCCAATATTCTGTATTGATCAAAACCCAATCTATGTTAATAATGGATTTTTTGTGTGTGACTCGGTTATTTTCTAGCACAGCTCTTGCAATTTACATTTTAAATATAGAACAAAGCCCTTCACAGTAAGACGAACTTTACACTTGAGTCTGCTTCCTCAACAGATGGCCTCTAGTTTTGCTGTCAGTCTAGATAAGCAAGCTGTAGAGGCCCAGTGTGTACTCAGTGTCACCAAACCTTTCACCTGGCTTGCCCACATCTTTTGGACATTTACACAAACATGTTCAATTGACCTTGGATGAGTGCATCTCTTTTTTTATTTAAAAAAGATTTGTTAACAAGTGGGAGACATGCTCAAATGCAAAAAGATCATGCGCATTTGCTTTGGATTTTCGCAGTAAAGAAAACTCTTATTCAGTACTTAACATTCAGTAAAAACAGATGCGCTTACCCAAACTAAAGTAATTTCAATGTTAAAGGAAATACTGATTGCAGACAAAGATGGCCCCACTAGAATATATTTACTGCCACTGGCCAAGATGAATGTGTGTTTGTTAAAATGTAAGTGCCTTTTAAATCTGCAACATTTGAATAGTGACGAGTTCTGTTGAGAAACAAGGTAACGATACTGTTCATTTTAAAAAGTAAATGACTAGGTTCTTCAAAAACAATCAATGACAGTTTGTTACCAATAGGAATTTAGAATTTCATTAGACCACTATGGATGTGGCAATGTGTAATGTCCTAATTTACACACTCAAAAATGTGCACAAACATCACAAAGCTCAGCATAAAAGCAAAATCTCAATACTTACAACTATGATTTTCTTCTTGCTTGAAGACAATTGCGGTCCCATTGTAGTTACCATGCTTGTGTGTTACTGTTAATGCTTTTTTGAGGCTGCTCAAAGAAAGAACTGCAGAAGCACTGACCTATGGAACTGTATATAAGGATCACCAAAGGGCAAATAAGAGAGCAAAGTAACATCTGTTGAGGAAAGTAGCTTTTATGGATATTTCATAATATGTAAAGGTAGGAAGAAAAGCATTTTTTCATGTTAAAGATTAACAGAATGAGCAGCTCTTTAATTACATTGATCTGACGTCTAAGTGTTTCTTAACCACTATTCCTGAAGTAAATGATTTAACATGATAAAAAAA